AGAGTATGGGAGATATATATAATATATTAGAGAGAGAGAGCGCAGCGCGAGGAGGAGAGAGAGAGCGAGAGTGAGAGAGGAGAGGAGAGTAGATGAGAGGCAGAGGGATGGAAGGAGGAAAGAGAGAGAGGGAGAGGGAGGGGGAAAAAGAGAGTGAGAAAACGAGAGAGGGAGGAGAGAGAGGAGATCGAGGCATAGAGATAGAGGAAGGAGAGGAGCGAAGAGGAGAGAGGAGAGAGAAACGGTGAGAATAGAGAGGAGAGAGAGAGAAGAAAGAGGAGACGAGAGACGGAGAGCGAGCGAGAGAGAGGCGAGCGAGAGAGAGAGAGAGAGCGAGCAGAGGAGAGAAAGAGAGAGAGAAAGAGAGAGAGCAGGAGAGAGGAGAGAAACGCGGCGAGAGAGAGAGAAGAGAGATACACAAAGAGAGAGAGAGATGATCAGAGAGCAGAGAGAGAGGAGAGAGATCGGATGAGAGAGAGGAGAGGAGAGAGAGAGAGAGAGAGAGCTCTTGATTGTTAGCATATAGGCACTACTATGAATACAACAAACTGATGGTGTTGTCTATACATACCGCTACTAGAGAAGTTCATTGGTCGACAGATGGCATCGAATCTGTCGATGCTTAGTGCCACTAGGACATAATCCGAAGCAAATATCGTCAGAAACTAAAACAACAAATTTGAATAAAACAACAACAAACACATACGTTAATAATATCATACGAGGTTATGGGCGTGGAGTATATTACATTTTTTAACAGACGTAAAACAGAAGAAAGATTCCCGATGTTACATTTGCGTGGGGATTTACGAACGAACTCCGAAGCGAAATGCGCGTTGCTTATTTTTGTCGGCTTTCAGATGGTTATGATAGCAGAATGTCTTCTGTTTGGCAGAATGCCGACAGTTTTGATAGCGTTTCTGCTTACACAAAAAAGAATCCAACACGTTACAAACACTAAGAATCAAAACTCACTATATGTTATATTATTGGTTTTTAAAAAAGCAGTTTCGAAAACATAGTGTTTATTTCGGTTACAGTTTTCTTCATTTTACTATAAGTAATCATTTATTATTCCAGTTATCAATTCGTCATAGCACTGACCGCTTTTGATAATATAGTTTTAAGCGAAATTTTTAATATGCATGTATCATGATCCCTCTATACACATTCATGCGTACTTATTATGCATACTCACATTTTACATACTCGCATACCCTTTATCATATGCATATACATATGCATATATAATTATTACTTATTTTTTAGAAACCATACCCAGGTCAAATGTGAAGATAAAACGTAAGTGAAATCAAACATCATTCTTATACAATGTATAAGGAAAGAGACGAATCTAATAAATATAATTGGTCTAGCTAACCACTAATCTCTACAATACTTTGTCGTCAAAGTGTAACGGCAGCCAAATATACCTGCCACAATTCATTATCAAAAATGCTGTATTTCTGTCTGCACCGATATACATAGGTAATAACATATCATAAAGAGCGTATATCATACTTAATACGCTCTTGTATCATCGTATACGCTATACGCTATAGGTAAACACGAACGAACGCATACATACATACCTGCAGGTATTTGATAATTTTGCATATTGGATTGCCACCGTAGAAAACTATCGTGTGTCTATTAATGATGTCCGGTAGAACGTTGAGCATAGCCACCGACATATCTGTTAACACGAATTGAAAAAGAATCGCATTAGGAGAAGGAGGTGTGTGTGTGTGTGTGTGTGTGTGTGTGTGTGTGTGTGTGTGTGTGTGTGTGTGTGTGTGTGTGTGTGTGTGTGTGTGTGTGTGGAGGGGTATCGCTTGTTCACGTATTACGCAGCTATAGAAATGAACGCACTAAGTGGAAGGTCTCTGATAGAATTTACAGAAGACTCTGATAGAATTTACAGAAGACTCTGATAGAATTTACAGCGCCCCCTATACGCCGTATAGTAGGTTTAGGCGTCGAGTTGCTGTCGCTATATTTCCGTTCAGCAACGGCGTGTCGATTCCACGTAATCAAATAACTGCCGAGTTGAAAAAAAAACACCAATCGTTAACAACCCTGTAAGAAAGGCGCCGTCCGAGTAATTGGAAATTTGGCTCGACGTGCGTACTCTTTGGACACGTAACGGGCGCTTTAACGAAATATACGGGAAGTTGCTATTTGAGTTTCTAATAAGGGGTCCGGTGCTTTCCAGGTGCCTTTGACAGCGAATAGAGGTAGACTTCCCTCTGACACGAGTGCACGCTTTTGCAGCAACACTACGTGAGATTGTTAAACACGTAAGGCGAGACTCACAAGGAAACTTGGCCCGGTGGTAGAAGTACTACACGTTCTCCTTTAGGGCGATTATTGCTGAGTCTCGAGGAATCACTAGACTTCCACTCCCACCGCAGCTAAGCGAAGAAAAGCTCGCTTTCTTCCATTATGATAGTAATTGAGCTAGTTTAGCAGCGACGGTGGCTGTGATAACATTTTAATAGTATATACACACATATATATATATATATATATATATAATTACACAGCTGAAACTAAGCTAGAGAAAGAACGCTATAAAGCATATGTTATATTACATAGTATTGGATTTTAAATGTTATTATGCTTGATGTTGGATTTCCCTATTCATAATCCTAAACTAATATGTTACAATAACATTGTAGCAATGTTCCTGATAGCCTATTACAATATTGTAATTGCTGAGACACCGGCACATGTAAACAGGTCATCAAGAACATAGGAAATATCGGTTAACTGCATCATTGTATATACTAGATAATGCTAGGCTATATGCATTTATAAAATTCGCGGGGTATTTGCTTCATTGCTACTTACAAGAGAGAGTGATTCCATAACTTTTTGCTCATATCAATCACAATGAATCTTTGAGACAGTCTCCCCATTCTAGACACCCATCGCTTTTACTTCCCTGACATCTCCTGCGAGGTAGCAATGATAATGTAATATATTCTCTTTTCGATTCCTTCAATTTTCACGTAATGAAGCAAGACAGCGTGAAATCGACTAGCTGTTTACGTAAACATAAATGCATGCAGTTTTCTGCATCACCGGCGGGGGAATTTTGCCGAGCCTCAACTGGAAATAAGGGGATACGAACTAACGCCACGACGGCGCGTCACAACCATCTACATATAAACGAACGCGTAATTTACCAGCGGGATCTATAACAAAGCTACTCTACCACGCGACGTCGCGCATAGGACACCCGACGAGAAACCTCGCGAATGACGTTCGTGAAGTCGTCAGCACGTAGAAAGGACGCGTTTCGGTGAAGTAAAAAACACACACACACGCGTATGTCGGCGACGCCAACGTATATAAGTGATAGAGACAGCCGGTGTAACGCGAACACATCGCTGTCTGCGATGAAGCGTGTCTTAATAAGCCACGGCGGGATGTATATATGCAAGCGGATTTCTCAGCGAAAGTATACGCGCGAGCACAGCGGAATTATGAATGGAAAATGTAAGAAGATGACGCCCGCGCAGGAACGTAATATCAAGGCCGTAGACTGAGCAAATTCCTAGAGGGAGGGGGGCAAAATTTCATGACTCAACTGTGTAATGATGAGCGACGGGCGAAGCTCTTGATCGACGTCCATAGTGTGGTAGGGGTGGGTCTGAGACAAGGCTTTCAGGGATAAGTGACCAAAAACGTTAGGTTTAGGTTAGGGTTACGTCACGTTATGGTTATTTACGATTATTATCTAAGCTTTTTTTAATTTTGCTCCAAAATCTAGGGGGCAGCTGCCTCTTGCCTCCCATACAGTATTTGGCGCTACACCGTCGATGCATACCATCGGTATATTCCGTGTAACAAGAGCTTCATTATCTATTCCCATAGAGAGATACTAACTAGTATATTATCTCAATCATCTCCCCTATAGAGTCCCCTTCGTGACGAACTTGCAAGGATTTTCGAACGCCTCCACATGGCGTCAACATTAGTACCGCCATCTATATTCTGCATAAGGAATATTATTAATTTAATATGACCATTGCCATTGAAGCTGGCCATTGCCATACGTATACACCATATAAGGGCGTTTGTCGCCAGCGTTGTAAACACGGTCAGATATCTGAAATTTAAAATCGAATCGATGAAGTATACACGTCTTAATAATTATCTTACTAAACGAAATTAAGGCCTATTAAAATAAACCGATACGCATCGGGTCGAAATGTTGCGAAAGCTAATCGAACTATCGATAATATAATAAACGTTATTGATAATCAGCAGACTTACCCGCCAGCGCGAGTTGCGTGATGAAAAAATTCATTCGTGACTTTCGGTTCTTGGCAAGATACATGGCGACGAGGACGGCAGCATTACCGCAGACGATGAGGACGAACAGCGTCCAGGCTATGGCAAGCGATAAAACTACATCCTTCGCTTCCTGCACATCAACAAAAAAAAATTAATTTAAACAGAGATTGAAAAATTGTTCATTGAGAATTTAAAATTGTTCAGTTAAATTGAAACATTTACTCCAGAATATGTGTGATCGCCATAGAATATCGCGTTATTGTGTGTTATTTGTTGTTATTTGTTGTAATAAAACTATATGTTACTCGCAAAATGGCCGCCT